CCAGAAACCATTTCTTAACCCCTAAAATCCTGGGGTCCGGCTCGTGCCTGCTCCTCTCAGCTGTAAGGCTGTCAGCTTGGCTTATTTAGCAAGAGCAGGGTAAAGCGTTTGGGGGACCATGAGTTTCTTTCCTTATTACTCCTCACTTCTTGAGTCCCGTGATTCCGTAGGTGTCTCAAGCGCTGGCAAGGGCCTGTCTTGCGTCTGTGAGTGTCGGAGAGACGATTGACATACGGTCATCGTGGAGCTGTTAGTTCATCAATGTTCCCCAGGTGAGTCTAAGAGTGTTGCCCGTTATGGTTCCCAACTTGCCATTGCCCAGCACCTCCTTTTTGAACTGGTGAATGATATCTTGTTGTTTGGCTGCATCTTCCCGAATACGCTTCCTTGTGCGGCACCACTCGGAATGGTACTCAGCGAGGAGGGTTTGTATGAGGCCCTCCCAAGCTTCGGCGAGTGATACGGGCCGTTTGGTGATTGTGTGCCTGCAGCGCTTCTTCCAAATCGCCCATAGTGTGAGGGGCGGAGTCTTCAGTAGAGTGTATGTTGCCACCTTTCCTGCAAACACGGTTCTTTAAATCCTGTAAGCGTGAGCACGGGGTCGTCCGACAGGGGGGCAGATGTGGCTGCTTCCCAAAGGTTTGCCGATCTAGCTCTTAGTTGTGCTGTCGACGGGCAGGTCAGTAAGCAGTGTGGGAGGTCTTCTGGAGTGCCCTCATCGCAGAGTGTGCAGATCTCATCGAAGTCGGTCCGGGCTGCTGGGGATCGGCGTCTGCTGATCCATTGGTTGACCGGAAGGGCATAGTAGTAGATCAACCACTGCATGCTTCTCACTTTCGTGTTTTTGATGGACAGCGGTACTTGCCAGGTTATTGTGGTGTGGCTTCCCATTCCCCCGGTGAGGTGTTTATCCCAGCGTTGTGCGGGTATCTGTTGTGTCTTAACCGAATGTCTTCTCAGTCTATAGCCCAGCCTGGTAGTATAGTCTAGGATATTGGTACGGCGAGCCACCATTGAAGTGCTGGGAGACGTTTTCCAGGCCCATTCTGCCGGGTCGAACTCCAGATCTTGTATGGTCGTTGTCAGGGCGTAGATTCTGTATTGTTCGTCCTCGACCACTCACACTTTTCTGAGTAAATGTGGTTTGGCCGACACCCTGACGCGGATGGCTTGGGAGACCGTGCTCATTGTATGGCCTGGTTGTTGGATGTCGTGCATAGTCCATAGCGCCCATGGGTCTGAGGGGCCTTCCTTTCTGACAAAGGACATCACCTCTGTCGGAGGGTCTTCCCAGGTCCAGGTCGCCCAGTCCCCCTTCTTCCATTCAGTCGGTCTTTGGAGCAGCTAGCCATTCTGGGGGAACTGATGCCAGCATGCCGTTGAGATTTGTCTGCAAGGCGTGGCACCCGTTGAGTGTCTCTCTGAGTTCTGTGAGTGTTTTCCATCTGTTGCATTGGTGGTTCCAGAGATGTTTGATCTGCCACACTCCATGTTCCAACCAGGTGATCCACCGGGTGTCCTGTGTCATGAGTGTCCATGGTTTGCCTGTCTGGTCCTTCACCCACTGATTTCAAAACAGGGGCTGACGTAATACCTCTTCTCTGTTTGCTGGTTCTCGGACCTTGGCCGGGAAGATCTCCCTCCATGCCTTGATGAGATACATCCAGTAGTCTTGGTTGTTCCTCTGTTCTTGTTGCTGTTGATGTTCTTGTTGAAGGGGTCCCTGTTGTCTGGGGGTCCCGCAGGGAGCCGACCAAGTTTGGCCATCAGCCAGAACAGTCCTTGCATGTCCGAGGGTGTGCTGACCACCGGTAGTTGTCTGATGCGGTACAGGGTCAGGGTGACCCAAGGCAGGTCAGCTTGTGTGAGCAGCTTAACCACCCACTTGGTCTGCAGGGCCTTCATCTGCGTGGCGGGGTCCAATAGGCCCAGTCCTCCTCTAGCCTTTGGTTGGTTGAGGTGAGACCATGCCACTTTTGCTATGTAGCTTGTTCTCGAGGGGTTACCTGCCCACAAGTAGGCCGTTGCCCGTTTCTTGAGGGTGCCAGCCGTGTGCGTTGTTGGAGTCCAAATGGTAGCAGCATAACAGAGCATAAAGAAGACGGAAGCATTGAGCCCCAGGGTTCGACCAAGACGGACGTGTAGATGTTGGACCATGTGTCCAGTTTCCGCAGCATCTTGGTAAGGATCTTCGAGGCCATCACATGGTTGGAACCTGCATCAGTGAGTTTTATCTCCAGATAGTGAAGCCGAGTTTTCGGGTCCTGCAGTGCGAAACCCTCTGGTGTGTCGTCTGCTGGGGGTTGCGGTGTGTCCGATAACCACCACCCCATGGTCTTCAGCCAGTTGACCTTCATCTCCGAAGCCAGCTGGAAGGCTTGCATGGCTCTCGTGAGTGCCTGAAATGAGGAGTTGGAGGCTCTTATCAGTGCTGTGAGGTTGTCTGCAAAAAGGAGTGCGGTTGGAAGGTGGACCACATGCCTGGGGGGGGCTGGCTCAGCTATCAATCTGTAATTTCTGATGTCCTTCTGCAGGAAGGATGCCACTGCTTCCATTGTGAACAGAAAAAGCGGGGCCGCCAACGGGTCTCCTTGTA